ACCAGCACATGGGGTCGGTTGTGCTGATACTACACTCTGCACTCTTTTGTGCAGATCACGGTGCTGTAGATTTCGGACCACGGTGAGATTGTTGTTTCTTGTTCATCAGGCGACCCAAGGTAGTCCTGCAGGAGTCCGCAGGCCTTGGCGTCTCCTTCTATCTATTATTCCTGTTTCCTTCTTGTATTTCCAGAGACAATGTTGTATTATTTCTTTCAGACCTTTATTTGTAGTAATCTTAGATAGTCTGTGAAGTTGTGACACCAGTCTTGGGTATATTTGTTATGGAATGGCATTAGCAGTATTATTAAAACTTGGAATCCAAATCTTCCGCTTATTAAATTTTGTTGATTATTAACTGTTGGTTTATAACTGTTAACGGATTTAAAAATGGAAACGAGGTAAATAATTCAGTTGATTGGCTTGCCTAGCTTTCACTAGTAGGCGCCATCACGACTCCCGAGGGTGGGAAATCCGGGTCGTGACACGCTCCCAGGCCCAAACCTAACATAAAAAGTTGACATAAAATTTAAGATATATTTTTACTAGGTATGTTAAAATGAATAGAGTATTCGAATATATTGTCACCTGTAGTAGCGGCAAAAATCCAGCAACGTCACTCTGGGTGCCCATGCTCGCCTGGCACATATGCCTGTACAAGTAGGCGAGAACAGCAGAGCCCCAGCTGTACTGGGGTAAATGATCTAGCCACTCAAGATGATGAAAAAATCTCAAGCTGACTAGGTTCCCCGAAGTGTTCGGGAACAAGACCCCTCCAAACATAAGGAGTAGCAGCAACCTCGTATACCGGTCAACATGATAATCCGGTATATCGCCATCGATCTGAGGATGCAATGCCTCCAACCACTGTCGAATAGTGGTCAACGGAAAACGACTGGTCCCATGTAGTACATTCTCATCCTCTGGCCGGAAAGTAGTGAGCCGCTGCAGCATGTCCAGGTACTGCACACGTGTCATCTCTCTCATGCCAGGCGGGACGGCAACGGGCAGTCCATCAACGGGCAGCACATATAAAACCTCCACGTCCTGCAGTGTGATGGTGGCCTCACCAATGGGCAGGTGAAATGTGTGCGTCTCCGATCGCCACCGCTCTATCAGGGCCGTGACCATAGACCAATCAAGCTGCAGCCGCCCGATCTCCAAAATCCTGTAGAAACCCGTCTCCCGCAGGCGTGTGACTACACGATCATGGAGAACTCTGTCATGCAGAAAGTCCCACATGTCGTCCACTCTCTTGGCGCGGAGAATCTGGGTCAGTAACTCACCCTCCCATATGTGGGCGGACCTATGATCGCCCTGTAACGAGAGTAGCTCATCGCTGGAAGGTCCGGGATGAATAGGCGGCACCTCCATGTCGTCTACTGTAAATTAAACAATATTAATTACATGTTAGTTTTATAATTTTATATGTTTGTTTGTAAATTAAACAATTAAATTTTATAATTATTCAATATTTAATTATGAAGTTTAAAACATAAGGGTTCCAGGCTCGATATTTGAGGCTCAGTAGCACCAAGATATCCTAAATTCTTCTATGTGTTAGTTTTATTATAATTTTATATGTTAGTTTGTAAATTAAATAATAAAGTTTTATAAATAAATATTCACATATGGGTTCCAGGCTCGATATTTGGAGCCCAGTAACACCAACTTATCCTGATTTCTTCTATGTGTTAGTTTTATATTTTACATGTTAGTTTGTAAATTAAATAATTATTTTTTATAAATAAATATTCACATATGGGTTCCAAGCTCCATATTTGGAGCGCAATAGCACCAATTTATCCTGAATTCTTCTATGTGTTAGTTTTATTATAATTTTATATGTTTGTTTGTACATTAAACAATTAATTTTTATTATTAAATATTCATATATGGGTTCCAGGCTCGATATTTGGAGCCCAGTAGCACCAATTTATCCTGAATTCTTCTATTTGTTAGTTTTATTATTTTACATGTTAGTTTTACAATTTTATATGTTTGTTTGTAAATTAAATAATTAATATTTATAAATATATAATATTTAATTATTAAATATTTGTATATAGGTTCCAGGCTCGATATTTGTAGCCCAGTAGCACCAATTATATGTTGACTATAATTGGACAGAGTTTGTGTTTGATCTATCAGTTATTTTGACGTATTTTTTAGTATAAGAGATATTTAAACTACAGGGAAACTACGCTAAAAGGCGCTACATTTTACTACGCTAAAAGGCACTACATTATACTATGCTAAAATGCACTACATTTTACTATGCTAAAATGCACTACATTTTACTATGCTAAAATGCACTACATTTTACTACGCTAAAATGCACTACATTTTACTACCTTAAAGGGCACTATACTACTAGCCTTTAAGCAAATAAATAATTTATACCAGATAAAACACAACAAATACATTTAATCACAAAACATTCACAAAAATACATATAAAACAGTAATACTAATTTATTAATATTTTTATTAACAAATAATAACGATTTCACAATTTTTACATATTTTTTACAACATTAATATCTTAGTTCGGATAAAAATAACATACCAATTTAATCGCAAAAAAATACAAAACAACATACAACACATTCAAAACAACTAATATGCATTATTTATACGAGTTTGGACACAAACTAAATCGGAATACCTTGATTGATGTTTTTCGGAAAGTTGAAGATTTGAATATTTGACTCCGAAATAAGCAACCCATAACAATAGAAGGCTTGGCTAGGATGTGGGGCCAACTTTGATTAGTTTTTGTGGGACGGTGGGGTACACTCGAATTTTTATCAAGCTAATGGGGAGGGGGGACCGCTGTTCGTTTTTAAAAAATGGGGGAAAATCGCTTCTGTCCAGAACGTGGGGGGAAAAGGGCAGGAGACGATTCTTATATAGGTATAACGCGGTTTCTTACTGCATTTTATATAAAACGCAGTAATGAACCGCGCTTTATATAGCTGTCTTATCAGCTTTCAGTAAAGTGCGGTATTCAACTGCGTTTTATATAAAACGCGGTTCATAACCGCGTTTTATATAAAATGGTAACTTTATCTTTTACACCTAAAAAAAAATTTGAATCCAAAAGAACCACATTTCGATTTTGGACTCTGACCGCTAATGCCTAATAGCCTAATAGTAGACTAGACGATTTGAATTTGTTTTCGTTTCTTCTTAAACTTTTTTTAATTGTTTATGCCTATAATATGGGTACGACAAGGAGATTTTATTCTTTATCTTTATGACGTGGCATGCACGTGCTGGAAAAATGATGACATGGCAATGGCATGTCATTTTTTTGGCACCAAAATTTGACTTTTTGGTGTTCTTTATTTTCTTGACAGCTAACACATAATGTAGTGACTTTATTATTACAAAATATAATTGTTTGACTTTAGTATTACAAAGAATAATAAACTTTTGGCATAATGATAAACGTTTAATTCTTATAATCTTAAGCAAGGAAATATGTTTTCAGGTAGTACATTTTTTCCACTATCATATTATATAATTGAACACCTTATGACAAATTAATACAGTAGTCATTAGCTACTATTTTAAATGTTATGGTAAAAACTTACCATTATTTGGACCAAAGTAAACCAGTTTATCATGGATGAGGTGAGAATATATACTCCCTGCACAGTGGTGAAATCAGGAATTTTTTTAAGGGTGTTTAAACTTGAAATAAGAAGAAAAAAACTCCAACAAAGGGTGTTCAATATATGTTATGCACCTCTAAAATAAAATTTTACTTATATACACAGTGTAATTTTTCATTACAGGGTGGTCAATTGACCACCCTAACTTAAGTGTGGCTTCGCCCCTGTCCCTAAGGGTGTTCGTCGGTCGGTACGGTACGGTATTTAGACATTTCGGTTCGGTATTTTCGGTATTCGATTTCTTAAAATGCAATACCAATACCGTACCTAATTAAATTTGGTATGGTTCGGTTTTTCTCCTTTCGGTTTCGGTTTATGTGGTTTGGGAACTTCGGTTTATTCGGTTCGAATACTAACTAGTGCGTAGAGTCATAGAATATAATATTCTGAATTAAAGTACTCAAAAGTACAAAACTAAAAACATTTGTTGACAAAAGTTTTGTCCAAAACTAGCAAATATCAACTTAGAGAGAGAAAACTGTACATAAAAGAATAAATTTGATCATTAGAAATATCTTGTTACTAACTTAGAGTTAATTGATGAACTTAGAGAATAAAGGAAAGTAAAATTTTAGATTTTTATATTTATGTTATAATTAATAATAGGTGTATTGTATAATATAATATATATTTCGATACGGTATCCGTATTTCGGTATTTTATTTTAAAATATCAAATACCATACCTAATACCAATATTTTTTATAACTTAAACCAAATATCATACCGAATACCAAAATATCGAATACCAAATACCAAAATTTTCGGTTTCGATACGGTAATTCAGTATTTACCAAATTATGTACAGCCCTACTTGTCCCTGCATTTTAGTTTATATGATATTGTTTGACTAGGTATAGAGTCTAATAAAGAAATAAATACTTTTGAAATTTATGACTTGAAACAAGTGAGAAGTATTTGTGTGAGTATAAATCAAATCTCAAATAAAAGTTAAAATGAGAGTTTGAAGTTACTCCCACCATTTTCTTTTACTTGTCCATTTTACATTTTGTGCTCCTTTAATAAAGTAATTAAGTATTTATTTCACTAAGTTATCCTTATTAATGGTACTTTAAAAACTAAGTGGACTAGTAGTATCCCAATTAATTTGGAAAATAGTTACTTAATGATAAGCTTATATAAAAAAAAATCATCAATTCTCTCTTAATTTACTAAAATAAACAAATAAAAAAATCTATTATTTCCTTAATTTACTAAAAGGAAAAAAAATATTTTTAAATATAAAAATATTTTGTACTTTTTCGGACAAACTGAAAATAAATAATATTACATAAAACAAAATTTGAAATTCAACCATGAAAGATATTTCCTTACCAGAAATCCTGATATTATTATTCAATCCCAGATTCTTGAAAATTTTTTTTTTTTTTTTTTTTTTGAGTGTTCAAAACCATAACTCTTATCCTCTTCACCATTAACACAGCTCTAAAAATTCTTGAAATGTTGCAGACACAATCCTTCATCTCATCCAATTACTTCTTCCCTCTCTCTTTCCCTCCCAACCCCATCACTTCAATTCACAATTTTTCCCACAAACCCAATGCCACGCGCCGTTCAGTCTCAGTCGTTAAATCCCACGCGCCGCCGTCACAGTCATGGCTTGCTGAGGCCCCAGATGAAACTGTTACCGTTACAACCGACGCGCCACCGGAGGAGGGACCCATTGAGCTGCCTTCTTCAATAACGGATATATTTGCTACTTCTGATGACCCTTCTCCTCTTCAAACCGCCACCAGTCTTCTCCTCACCGGAGCTATTTCCGTTTTCCTCTTTCGCTCCATCCGCCGCCGCGCTAAACGTGCTAAAGAACTGGTAAAGCTCTCGTCTTTACACTCTCCATTGTGTGAATTTTGCATATTTTCACTAACTCAAAAATATATTTGTGTGACCGTATTTGACTAGAGACGGAGTTGAAAGAAATAAATAAATTTAAAACTTGTAGTTTAAAAGTTGACTAGGAAGATGTGGAGGTCGAGTATTAGGGTTCTAGGTTAGAGCTAGTTGAGTCTTGCCTTACTTAGTAGTTAGTAGCAGGTAAGGTTTTTGTCTAAGATAGCTAGTGACAATATTATGTCTTACTATTTCGATTTTTGGTGCATGACCTATTTACTAGCTATCGCTTTTGCTTTGTATCTTTCTTTTGGATTTCATGTTGTTCCTATTTTTTCTATGGTTTCTGTGGTGATACTAATATTGTCTCCTTTTGTCCTTTTGTCTTTTTATTTTCTTGAGCCGAGAGTCTTTCTGAAACAGCCTTTCTACCCCTTTGGGGTAGGGGTAAGGTCTGCGTATACGCTATCCTCCCCAGACCCCATTAGTGGAATTTTACTGGGTTGTTGTTGTTGTAGTTTAAAACATGCCATAGATATTTGTATGGCTCTATACTCATGTTGTTAAAAGGTAAAATGAAAAGTTTATAGTTAAATTTCTTAGAGTACTAAACAAGAAAACGTATATTCTTTTTGGGATGGACTAAAAAGTAAATTGTGTCATATGAAATGGGAAGAGAGAGCAATATTTATGTGTTTGGTGCTGGATAAAGATATTACAAGTCCCATATTTTATTGTTAAAAATATTTAAAATGTTTGACAAATTAACAAAAAGTATTGAATTCTCAAGAAGTAATAGTATCATATAAAATGGAGCAGCACAAGGTTATTAGGCAATGAATTGATTGTACATGTAGTGGCGTAGCCAGAAATCTCGCCAAGGGTGTTCAAACTTTAAAGAACCGAATAATTTTTTTTCTCGATGAATGCGTGCACTATTTTTTTTAAATCAAACTAAGCTACATTTAGCTAAACAATAAAAACACTTGTAATCAAAACTAACATAAAAAAGATGACAATAGAAATTTACTGATAAAAGTAAGCATAAAATCAAAGGAAAGAGAGAATCGAGAGGATTTGTAATATGTAGAGAGCTGTTGTTGAAGAAATTTTTGTAAAGCTTGACTTTTAAATTATAAAATTTATTTAAGAAACAACATTTAATTTTTAAAACTACTTTTAAGATTAGTTGTTTGTTTTTACGCAAAATTTGAATTTTAAGAGTTATTTATTAGAAAAAAATTCAGTTTAAAAAGGAGTCAGATAGACCACATACGGTGGTATCCGTTTAGTTTGGCAAACAAAATGGGAAAATATATATATTTAGATAGAGATTTGAACTCGTGAATACCCTAGACTACTCGAGTGTCTCACTCAACTATATTAAGGGTGTTCAAAAAGTAATATTTAACTATATAAAGTAATATTTGATCTTTCGGCGAAGTGTTTGCCTGATCACCCTTGCCATAGTGTAGCTACGCCACTGCTGTACATGCTTTCATCTTCATGTTTTTCCTCTGTTTATTTTTAATTTCATTGATATGATTGTGGAAGTATGAGTAAGTATGTCACTCCTTAGCTTCAGTTCTTGTTCAGTTGATTGGATGTGCATATATATTTGACATTATAACATGTAATATGAGGAGGAGGCATAATTTACTCGTAGGACTTCAGTCCCAGTTATGACTTAAGGTATTAGGTGAGAATATATGTTTGTTTTGTGAAGCTTTAATGTAGTAGTATGGGGCTTTCTTTTTGGTGGTATTAGAAACTTAGGTCAACAGGGGCGAAGAAAACGTTGAAGGAGGAGGCAATGGAGAGTTTGAAAGCTATGACGCCAACACCAGTTGACGCCAAAGCTCCACCTTCACCTGTTCAAGCACTGTTGGGAGGTTTAACAGCGGGTGTTATTGCACTTCTCCTTTACAAGTTTACTACCACCATTGAAGCTTCTCTCAATCGCCAGGCGCTTTCAGATAGTTTCTCGGTTTGCCTCTCATTTGCCTTTGAATTTGCTGTTTCTTTGCTCCCATTTTTCCATTGTTACTCCCACTATGCATAGTAAGTTGAGTAAAGATTCAGACAACTCATTCAGAATAGGAAAAAAGGGGAGCGGGAGAAAATCCATACCATACTTCTATTGTTTACCATTTGATAATCATTCGTTCGTTGTTTTTGTAACAGGTTCGCCAGATAACAATAACGATTAGGTAGTTTCTAATATCTTTCCTTTATACTAATGCATGCATTACTGGTGAAAGATTATGAAACCTTCTTATTTAAAAACTGTTTGCAGAACTATTATAAATGGAATATGCTACCTCGCAACATTTGTCTTTGGCATCAACTCTGTCGGTTTGTTCCTTTATTCGGGTCAACTTGCCTTGAACTCTATCATGGGAGATTCTGCTAGTGAAGAAACTAATAATAAAGGTGAAGCACAGTTGAGTTCGAAGGATCCAACATCAGCACGTCCTGTAGATAGCACTGAAGCGAACAGAGGCGACGGCAATAAAACATCTGAGGATACAAAATAGTGCAAGAATATGATTTAGAAATGAAGACCAGGTTTAGTACACCACTTTTCCATTATTTTGCAATTTGTACATTACGATTCCATTAATTTTTGCAATTTCCAGTTAGGAAAAAACATAAGAATAGGATGAGACAAATTTCTGTGAGTAGATTTGACTATTAGTTTGTGGACATATTACAAAAGTAGAATTACTTGATGCTTTTTTTTGCTGCATGGCAGGAGAAAATAGGAAAACAACATTCTTTTCTTTTATCATCATAACTAATCGCTTTCATATATATACCTCCAACGGGGACCAACCATTTTGTGGGAGTTGTGAGCTCTGGGTTACAGTAGGGTTGCTAGATGGAGTAAGAAAATTGACCTGATGTTTTGAAGTGAAGGCAAATAGGCACGTGATTTGAGGCTGAAACGGAAAATTACTGGCCTTGTTGTGGGATTTCTTGTTCAATTTATATGCTTTCCGTCATAGTTTATGTTTGCTCTGCTATCCGAGGGTACATCTGTAACACTAAATGATACTATGGGCCCCTAAGGTTTAAACATGCTGCCACCACAGAAACAATAGCCATTGCCAAGATATTCCTACTTGCAGTGGAATACATGCTCCTGTCTATGCAGGGGCGGCAAATCTGTTCAAAATATAGGCGGCCTTTTTCTTGAAGTACGACATAAATAAGTTGGATTACATGCAATTGTAGTGTCAAAAGTTCCTGATCTCCTATCAAGAGCACAAATATAAGACAGAAATGTCATTCTGATGGACAACATTCCCTTCTTGCAGCCAGACCGCAACAGAAGCAGATACTAGCCAGTTTATGCACAAGATTCCTGTAGGTGCATGAGGCTGTTCGAATCAGGCTATAAAGGCCAGCAGTGCCAAATCAGGAGGTGTTGGATTGGTTAAGGCCAGATGACCATATGTTCGTTCATCCATCTTCTTTTTGGTGAAGTCAAATGATTTAACGACTACATCCGTCCTCAACCAGTTCATGAAGTATAGTGCGATATGTAAATGCCAAACAGAAGTTGTAGGAGCCACTTGAAAATATTTGTTTCCAAGAAATAGGATCATTAAACAGCAGATAGTGAAGTTGGTGATGATCTTGTATGTTGTACACTTTGTATATTCTTCTAGTTGTGATACTTGTGAAATTTTCTTGTTGCTTTACCATACTCTAGTGCAGTGGTTACCATTGGACTGTTCTGATTTGGCTCCCTTGTCTCTGAATGTAGTCTGCAGCTTGAATGAAAGTTATCATCTCTTGAATAATTTTCTTCAACTAGTGTTGAAGTTATGTGAAAGCCAAGGCATTTGATTTTGTGTCCAGGGAATGTTGTACTGCAACTAGGGCTGTGCATAATTTTGTAAATACCGAATTACCTTACCGAAACCGAAAATTTTGATATTTGGTATTCGATATTTTGGTATTTAGTTTAAGTTTTTTTTAAAGAATTGGTATTAGGTATGTTATTCGGTATTTTAAAAATAAAATACCAAAATACCGATACCGAAATATATATTAAATTACACTATACACGTATTATTGATTATAATATAAATAATAAAGTTCTAAATTTTACTTCCCGTTATTTTTATAGTTTTCTTTAACCTTTACTACCTTTTTTCCCACTATACTTGTCTTTCCCCCTTTTTTCGGGTTCTTACTAACCTTTCTCCCGTCTAGGTTTAGCATTTGGGTTTCCATCTTTTTCCCATTATATTATAATATTTTTATTTTCATATTTGTGAGTACCTCATTTAAGAATATTACATTCTATGGCTTTATGCATTAGTTAATATTTGAGCCTAACAAATCGAAATTGCCAGACCGAATAAACCGAAATTGAAAGGAGAAAAGCTGAACCATAACGAATTTAATTAGGTATGGTATTGATATAGTATTTTAAGAAACCGAATACCGAACCGAAATGACTAAATACTGTTCTGTACCAACTGAGGAACACTCCCAACTACAACCATAATCAATGAAGCGGAAAAAATTGCTAATTGGACCAAAGATCCAGTGCAGCAAAGTATAGCCTCCACTCACTACTTTATTGTTGATGATCACTGACAAAACTCCTCGGTCCTTGGCTTCAACCTGCAGATTTTTCAGTAAGACGTTGGTATTTTTCATTACAATTTGATTACCAAAAACATGTTCCGGTAAAGAGTCTATCGAGTAACTTTTTAGGTCAAGAAATTCACAATTAAGAACAGGAAAAGGAAGAAAGGCATATTAAAACTCATGTAGCAAGAAGAATACAATAGTATCGGCTGATGATGATACAAAAGATAAGAATCAGAGTTCGGGTTACAAGGGCAGATCTAAATTTTTTACAAGTCTAATTACTGACTGACTGGAGCTACTAGTAAAAGTCCTTGAACTATTCGTGCTTTCAACAACATAAGGGAAGGAGGAATCCGCAAGAATAAGTTTTTATCCAGCCTCCTCCAACTCCGGGGCTTCTCTTTCCCTAGGAATCCTAACTTAGTAATATTGACTACACTGACGATGTTTATAACTTTTGGCGACAAAGATTTGCTTATACAGATGCATTATCATGATCCATGGAAGCTGCAGTTGCTCCAGCATCAACATGTTCCTCTTCCTTAGGCTGCTCCACTGGTGCTTCGGCTGGCTTTGATGTAGAATCAACCGGAGGTTTAAGAGTAGTTTCAGCAGGAGGCTCCTCTGATTCTTCAGCTGGCTTCGACGTTGAATCAGCCGGAGGCTCAAGAGTTGTTTCAGCGGGAGGCTCAAGAGTTGTTTCAGCAGGAGGCTCTTCTGGTGCTTCATCTGGATTTGATGTTGAAGGAGCCGGAGGCTTAAGAGTTGCTTCAGCAGGAGGCTGCTCTGGTGCTTCATCTGGCTTAGTTGTTGAAGCAGCCGGAGGCTTAAGAGTTGTTTCAGTAGGAGGCTCCTCTGGTGCTTCATCTGGCTTCGACGTTGAAGCAGCCGGAGGCTCAAGAGTTGTTTCAGCAGGAGACTTTCCTGCTGTTTCAGCTGGTGCTTCAACAGGAGACTTCTCTGGTGCTTCATCTGGCACCTCAGTTGTTCCAGCTACAGGCTTCTCTGTCATTTCTTCCATACACTGGGTTGTTGTTTCCACCAAAGTATTTCCTGTTAGAGAATCAGTACTAGATTTCTGCAGCTGCATAGGAGCAACATTGGGTACTGGCTTGGTGGTGTCCTCCGGTGCAGGCTGTTTTTGTGTTGGTTCTGCTGGTTTTATCCTTGATTCAGTTTGAGCTTTCTGTGTTGTTTCAGCTGGAGGGTAGACCTTTGTAGTGTTGCCCCTTGTGATGTCGTTACCTATTTTCTGCTGCTTCAGAGATTCAGCATTTAGTTGCTGCAACCTATAGTCAGTTTCAGGCCGACGACAAACCTTTCTCAGAGGAACAATCTCCTGGATAGGAAAAGACTCAGTCAATTAGATGTCTCAAATTCTATAAAACTACTAACACCCATGGATGAAAACTAGATGTCTCAAACATAAATGACCAACATTAAAGGTAGATAGTGTACCCCACTGCGCAGCACAAGGTCTATAAAAAACCGACTTACATGCGACAAGCATCAGATATTACACCTAAACATTTTGAAGTCACTTTTTAACTTCAAATTTAACATGGTCCTCTAAGTAGAAGGCTCAGATATATTCCAAAATAACCAGGAATAGATAAGAATGCAAAAACTTTCAGCTGCAGCAACTGTCGATAGTTAATACCACCATGTTTGAAAATGGCTCCCTGACTATTCAAAAACCACTTGGCTGCATTAGAATAAAGTTGGCCTCCAAGTCATTATTCTGTTTCTTCTAATGGATGGGCTATACGGCCACAGCCCAGTCCTAACCCCCTCCCTCCCTTTGCCTAGTTCCAAGTTTATCTTTGTTCTCCCTCATAAACTAGGCTTAGCCTAGGATAAAAAACTATTAGAACGTCCCATACTACACTTATGTTCAGTCTACTTGTAGCACCACATAATATCTGATCCATCATAATCACTGGTCTTTTCCTTAACCTGTTCCTGGTATTTTATTTCCTCAATATTTTATTTGATCAATTTCGTTTCCGTTATTCCAGCTGACGTCTCTCAGAGGGCAAGTGTTACTAACCATGCAAAGAAACAAGAGGTGATCTCTCTTCAGTTGCTGATTTCAGCCAAATGACAACTGTAGAAACTAACGTATCATAACAGATCAATACAAGGCTAAAAACAGGAGGCATGATAAAAAGATAGGAATAATAACCAATCTGTAAACAGCAGTTGTCAAATTTACAAGAAAGATGCAGTTTTTAACGAGCGATCTGACTATTTGTGCATATTTGCTGCTAAAGCTGTTTCTTCCTTATGAACAATTGTTTTTTTGTTAGTAACAAGCAACAAACAATTTTACCAGTAAAGAAGCACAAAGTGGTCAGAAATCTGAAATAAAATGAGGAAAGCTTAGGCCAAAATATAGAGATAAAAGCAGAAAATTACAGAAAAAAGGATTAATTGAATACCTCAGACTGATCATGATCATAACGAACCAGAAACCGACAACGGCAACCTCTCACATCATGTCTGCGTCTTTGAGCATCAAGGACATGCGCATCAAAGTACAGAGCCTGCTCTTTGCCTTCCTGAAAATTATTAGAGCATTAGCTAAATGATGACAGTTTGGTAAGTTTAGCTTTAGCATTTGACCCCATAATAAGATGCACCTGGAAGCAAAGAATCAGATCGCCAGGGAGAACTGCAACACATTCTGACGATTCACATGGAAGGGATCGCTGTCTTACGTGCTTACGTACATTTACCCACTCATCCTCCTCTGCTCCAAACCCCGCAAATCGAACCAGAACTTCCTGAAATTAGAAGTTTATCACCATTAAGAGGAAAAAAGGGATAAGGTAAAACAGACTGGAAGAAGAAGAAGATATGCACAAGGTAAATGAAACAACTTCATGGAGATAGCCTCTAGTTTTGGAGCATGTTACTAGGGGTGTCAATGGTTCGGTTCGGCCGGTTATTTTGTAATTTTGTACATATCAATTTTTCGGTTATTCTATTATGTATAGCCAAAATTAGACTTTTCGAAACCGTCCCAATTATATCGGTTCCTCTTCGGTATCGGTACGGTTCGGTTAATTTTCGGTATTTTTTAAATATCATATAAAAGTCACTAGTAGAAATAGAATGCAATAACATACATACTTTTATAGTACTTCGCAAAACTCTCTAGATATTTTTAAATTTTAAAGGGTGATGAATTAAGAAAATATAAAAGATGGCTAGAGTATAGATCCATCAACTACTCTACAACAGCGTAAATGAAACTAAACAAATTGATATAAAGAAAATATAAATCACACGAGTGGAAAGATATTAACCATGATGGAACCGGGACTCAAGAATAAAGTCTATAGAAGATTAAATATTCAAAAAGATAAATCTAAATCGTACGAAAGGAAACATAATCAATATATTGTAGTTTGCTACTCATAACCGCTAAAATACCTTGTGTCTTGCAAGTGAATATGCTGGAAATAATTTAGTTTCAATGGGAGTAGCATAATAGGTTTGGGAATTATGTTTTGCGATTATTACTTGTTGGCTTGTAATTGTTTTCATAATTCCAAGACCCAAGAAAAATTTAATGTTTTATTATTTTTGAACTTAATACATAAATATATTTTTCGCATGTAAATTTATTCGGTACGGTTCGGTATTTTTTCGGTTTATTTTCACAAAAAAAAAAAACCTACCCTATTTATCGGTACGGTTATAGATTTATATAAAAACCTACGGTTTTATTAAAAGAAACCTAAAAATCGGTTCGGTACGGTACGGTTCGGTTGGTTTAGTCTATTTTTAAATATCCATTGACACCCCTACATGTTACAGACAAAGACATAGTTTGCATTATGATCCTCAACATCAGACAAAAAGGCCGCGCATGTTACAGAGGGGCTGGAAAACGTAACTAGAAAAGCACCCATCATGTATTTCCTGATTTCTGAAAAATAAGAGGGCTAAACTTGCCTCAACAATCAATAGCAAACTCTATTGGGTAAAAAGAAAGAGCAGAAAGATAATTCTATGCATAATATACAAATTTAACCACCCGGCTAACAATAATATCTTTCATGGAACATTAGATAGGTATCTCTGAGAATTACCGGATCAGCAGTCTCCACAGATCTATGTGATAGGAAGCTTGCTACATCATACCTAAGGAAGGATAATATCATTAAGTGCGGATCTAATGAAGATGGAAATGAAGCAAATGATAGAGCAAGCATAAATGTATAGAATGACTTAAAAGACAAACCATGCACCATCTCTTGCAGATTTAGCTTCAAACTCCATTTGAATGTTATCTGAAGCACTCCTGCCCACATTTTGTACTGCCACTAAAAAATAAGTAGAAAATACGTGGAGTTGGGTTACGACTTGAAAGAAATATAATTAGAGGAAAAAGTAGTTCTTTTTCAAGAGAGAAACAGGGAAAAAATAGCAAAAGGAACCAGCAGATTTTTGCAGTATTATTTTTTTATTACAGTACTTGAAATTTAGCCACATTTCTTATTCACCATTTTATCAACAAGGGTAGTGATTCAGCCACTATTTTCCTAAATATCATTGTTGAAGTATTTTCCTAGAGACGAACAGATTTCCAAAAAATGTATCATCTAGTGAAACCACAAACAAAACTCCTATTTGATGAGATATGCCTTATTCATTCCGAAACAGCCAAATCTAATCACACATCTTCTGAAGATCAAAATCAGTGGACTCTATGTTTCCAAGAGTCAATCTGCTTCCGTTAAACAACAGAGGAGCCTCGTATTCGTGGATCTAGCTATTTGTTCTAATTAATTATCACCATTTTTTGTAATCAGAAATTATAGAGAGTATCCAGCTTCTTAACAATATGACGGCAGTTCACAGGTATCCTCCTCCAGTTAACATTTCATTGCAAGTTCTCATGAATTTACTTTAATAAAATCCAACTCAGGATCAAAATCACATCATCTTTTTCAGCAGTTCAATAATTCTGCCGGCCTACAGAATTCAATTCTGAAAGCACCATCTTCTCAGCTAGCCTGGATCAACAACAACAACAACAACCTACCCAGTGTATTCCCACAAGTGGGGTAGTATGTACGCAGACCTTACCCCTATCTTACCAGTTCAAGATAAGGTGGATACCAAGAAGCTTAAGAAACAGCTTAAACTATCAAAAGTATCAACAAAGATATTATTAGTATATCTTAACAAAGATTACCATACTTTTAGCACATTACACTATCAAAAGTATCAACAAAGATATTATTAGTATGGCATACTTCTGCTCCCTCCAGCTCTAGTTAAGACTGATCAAATGTGCACACTGCCACACACAAGAAGGCCACAGAACAGGGTAACTAGACATATAGCAATCAGACATTCATCGCATGGCAAAATATATAGTAGTAGAATGATGTAATCTTCATTTTGTGTGTGTGTGTGTGTGATAAGGTAATATTTAATTGATATTGTGGGATTAAAAACCCCCGTACAAGTAGTATAATAAAAAGTAGAGAACCTACACAACAGTAGAATGAGGTAATATGCAACTAGCAATAAATGATAATCGTGATAGACAAACATAAGTTGGTAAACCCATTGCAAGGATCACTAAGAAGACTCTTTGCAAAAAACAAGAAACCATAAGAATATTGCTTAACAGTTCTACCTGATGGAGCAGGTAATGGTTGAGGCGCTTGGGGCATTGATTTCACTGTAACTAACAAAAGTCAGACAAGTTAAGGAAGAACAGTGAAAACCGAATATAAGACTCTTGTTAATCATAAATTTTGCGACTGTTTTGAAACACGGTAGTAAATTCCAAATTCTACCTTGAGGAGAAGGTATGGGTAGAGAAGCTTGGGGCATAATCCTTACTGCAGCTGGATCACTCTGAGGCACAGGTGACGACGCACTCAATTTTGCAGGAGTTCTTACCATAGCTGGATCACTTTGAGGCACTGACGGGGTACTAAATTTACCAGGAACCTTAGCTGTTTTTGCTCTAATAGCATATCGTCTATTCTGGAACCAGTTCCAAACCTATGAAAATTCTTTCATAATTTCAGGTACAAAATAAATAGTGAATGGTTATGAAAACATTTTTCATTCAATCATCAGAGGTTCAAAAAAGGAAAAGCCTCTTACTTGTTTCATTTGAACCATAATTTTTCCAGATCTCTCCGCTGAAGAACTAAATAGAAGTAGGTACATTACCATCCAACCTTCATCAGCATATAAAATCAAAGGAACAACTCTAAATATATGGCTCATTAACAACCTACCTAAACTTCTCAGCAAGAGCTACGAGAACTTCACGAGCTGGCATTGTAGCATTATGTGCTTGCAATATAGCTTCCATCTCAGCGACCTGCAATGTTTGACAAATTACTAAGGCTTTCAACACGATTCTATATCTCGCTGTGAAGTTACCAGATGCAACTACTGTACAAGTACATTTAAGCTGTCGGGCACATGCTATTATGCTCAGACTCGGGTGGGCTATACGAGGAGGGTGCGGATCTAGAGGTCGGACTCGCCATCATATAAATTTTAGGATTTGGGGGTATGGATCTGAGTGCGGATACGGATGCTGGGGTACGGAAAATAAATGTATATATAAAGTATATATTTTGACTAGTTAAAGTTATTGAAATAAAACTAATAAATATTATTCTTTATAAACACCTAATATTTTGTTCATAAGATATCTCGCGTAATACAAAAGCATTCTCACATTTCATATAACTATACTTTGATTATATATATATATATATAAACCCTAATATCAAACCATATTTCTCGGTCATAGAATATAGTCAAAGTACCAAACGTAAGTTGACCAAATCTGGTATAGATCCAACACCCACATCCATGTCGTGTTGACATGGGTGCAACAGGGATTTTGAAGAGTCCGTCTATCGGCACAACATAGGTCGCATGTATGGTCAGTATGGAGAAATGTTTTGGTATAATAGTTGAAAAAGGGAAGGATGTATGATAAGTGGGAAAGCTTCTATCGCGTACATTTTTCTCCACGGCTACTTCAAAATTAACAAAAACGTCTCATGTTGACAAGTGAATACTATCATCGAATGGAACTTAAATAGCAAAGGGATGAGCACTTTTTTGAAAGGATATGCATAACTAGTGTAAAGATAGGCAAGCAACAACTAGGGGCATAAATAAGCATCTGGACTTTCCCGCAGCTTTATTTCTAGACAACTCCATATTCCATACGCTTATTGGACGATTACCTCCATTTCTCCAGTATAAACACTTCATCAGGAGAAAGTATGAGTAAGACTTCCTTTCAGTAAGTAATGTCATCTATCTTACTCATGATGTTATTATTTCATAATTCATATCTCAATTTGCACAAGTTTTCAACCTAGAGCTTCGCTTGTAAGGAATATGCAATACTAAGAAATCATGAAATTTTTGGAAACACCAAATAGTTGTAGGAGTTGATATTCTCAAGTTTACTTTAGAGACAATTCTAACTGAGAAGGAATAGACAATAAAGTACAGGATCAAGTCAAGCTTCAAGCAAGAGGAAAGCTCTAATGTAATTTCGAGCACTGGACATTCTGAAGTAGAATTAGGTAGGTTAGATTTCTTCTATTGATTGCATCCACCAGCTGTTGTGTTTTGTTTATGAGCAGATTCTTTGGAATTTAATGAATAAAACTTTACTTATAATTGCTACTCCCTCTATTCCAATTTATGTGGCATACTTTTCTGTTTAGGTTGTCCCAAAAAGAACGACAACTTTTTATATTTAAAATTCTCATTGTACTTTTAGTGAGATGATTTATAGTCATACAAACGTTTATGGATTGTTTTAGACCACAAGCTTCAAAAGTCTGTCTTTCTTACTTAAACTACTTGTCTAGTAAAACAAGGCCACATAAAATGAGATGGCAGGGGTAGTAATCATGGAGCTTAGTTTAATTTGGTTGCTCTGCGCACACACTACCCTCCCTAGACTCCACTTGTAGGTATGTTGTTGCTCCGCGCACCTTAGTACCTTCACTTTAGTGAGGAAACGATAGATAAGGCCGAAGGCCGAGGGCGAGGGCAGAACATTCCTGCCACCTAATGGACATGAATTGTCAGGCTCCAGCTCAACCCCCTTCCCAGCGCACCCCTACAATTTCTACATATTCTAATTATTTGACTGCAATATCTTCAAGAGAATCCTAGATCCTTAGATTGAATGATTTTCATGCTGAAATTTAAGTAAGGGCTTGCTTTCTTCCCTCTTCTGTGAAACCTTATTACATTATCAATGTCAGACACAACACTCTTTTTCTCACGACTCTCTTCAAAGCCTAAAGTGCAGCATCATATGACCACACACATATGCAGGTGGCAGTCGGACTGGCAACATATAGAGGCATCTTTAGCACACAGTTTCATACTTAATGATTAATTTATTGTGTTAACAAATATTTCCTAGTCTTTTTATAAAGACATTTTAAACCCCTTACAGGGACTCATACTTCATGCAGATACGCTACTTCAGGAAAATTCCGAAAATAACTCAACAAAAGCATGACCCAAGGGTCTGTCCTAGCGGTCAATGAAGTAGAGGAGAACCATGAGGTCTCAAGTTCAAATCTCAGTGGAGACAAAAGACACTATGTGATTTCTTCCCATCTACCTAAGTCTTGGACAGGATTACCCGATGCATGTGTTGATGGGAGGTAGTAACATCATCACCGTAACCCAACCAACGCGCTTCGGCTTATCTTTTCCTGGTTTTGAATAATTTAGCTTCATAGTATCACACTTTGCATGTTCTTACGTCACTCCCTACTTTTATGTTTTTTTGTGACTAATTTTACGTGTATTACCTAATTTTAATATTTTTCATTAATTTTTATGCCTTTTTTTATTTTTTATGTTACTTTTTTAACAGCTAGCCAGTGGAGTGCCCACAAGCCGACCCAGACACCACAATGACCACATAATCAAAACTCAACAAAAGCATGAAGTAGTAAAATAGTCTCAATGCAGTAAAAGAGAAACAATTAATGTGAGATTCACAAGTCTGCAACTACAAATTGCATAATGAAAGACAAATACGAAACAGGCAAAAAACAATCAGAAGAAAAATCTATAAATAAACTGTACATAAAACATAGAAGCGGTATAATGAACCAATTGAAGCTCACAAAAATGCTATATAGAGAAAACAACTGGTATTAACCTCAGTGGCGTTGAAACGGAAAGTAGGACCTCCGTTACTCGGCGGTCTTCCCATCTGTTAACGGCGTTAATGGAATACACAGCAGTACAAACTCTCAGAAAGCAATTGAAGCCTGCCGCCGGCGGGAGGAAACGACGGGTAGAATTTGAGAAACGATTAAACGGCCGTGAGAGGGAAAGAGAAGAAATTGGGATTGGATTTGTTTTCACGTAAATATAAGTATTTTCTTTTTCCTTTTTCCTTTTCCCTTTTTCCCTTTTATTTTCTTTTTTTCACGTTACTTTTTCCTTTTATCTTTGGTTTTCTTGATAAATCAATTTATTCTGTTTTTATTCCTTTTAGAATTTAATAGTACTAGAAACTTATTTTGTAATTTTATTTTCTATTACAATTAAAATCTCAAAGCTAGGTAAATACTCCAGTAAAAACTTACCCATATTGGTGTTGGGTACGGCTAAATTTTTATCAAATATCATTAGTCTACTATGAATTATTCCCTCACTTCCTTTTATGCGTCGATTTGCACCAAGTTTGAGAATGTAAAAAAGACTTTTAAACCTTATGATCTTAATCTAAAAGAGTGTGTAACATAATCTTGTGATTTTAAATATGCTATATCATTCCAAAAACAAAAAAAAATAAGAATGTTGTATTAAAATCCTAATAAATATAAAAATTGGTATTCTTTTCTAAATAGGCTAAAAAAAGAGTAGTATAATTTAGAATGGAAGGAATATCTTTTTCTTCGTGGAACAAATCGTATTAAATGAATATATTGGCTTTGAAAAGTACAGATTTAACAGTAAAAACTATCAAGTTGACCATATTATAATTGGTGTCTCAAAATTACCTTAATTATGATTTCACTTTTGGTATTGATTATTTTTTTTCTTGTAAATTAAGAATGAATTATTTTTAAACCGTAGGAATATGAACATCAAATGTAGTGAGAAATCTGACAATTGAGACCAATTGTCGGCTATGTTGTAAGCTCGTGAACGCGGCCCTCTGTTGAATAATTCACCTCTCTTTATCTTTTTTAAGTAATGAAAATGAAGTCAAAAAATACGCTACAGCAAGATGATGAATTTGACCCCATTCACATTCACAACAAATTTCAATGCTTTTCAGTTCACAAGTCAAAAAAAGTCTCTGCAAAGTTTCCATTAATATAAGGTACTACTACTTCATAACATATTTTACAAATTCCAGGAGGAACAACTAACTACATTTAGCCTCGAGGTAGCTTTCATCATAAGGTGGTTCCTATTTGGATGTGAGATAAGCTTGTTTTTGGAATCCTCCCTTGAAATGGCTATCTAGTCTCCATAATCTTCGAGGTTATTGACACGTTCACATTCATCTATCCATTCGCTATATCTGCACCATAGAATTCAGACTAGTTAGTTGATAATAATGGAGAAAAATGTTTTAAAAATAGTCGACAATTTAGAACATAGCAGAATGATGTTTCAACATACTTACATGTCTATAGGCTCAGTCAAAGCTGCCAAAGAAAAAGTAGAGAGCCATTGAACACCACAATTTCACAAGAGATCATACATTCTCAAAAAAAATCGTAATGCAAGACACACTAACAAAAACCAAAAGAATGCACAGGACTGTACACTGCTCTGTAAGTGTACTCATTACCACTTCGAGCTAAAGACTACCTATTCTGATAAGATCCACCAGTGCCCCAAAAGCATTTTAGAAAACCAAAAGCACTATATGAAACTAACCTGTCACAGTGGTACTAAAGCTTTCCTGGCAAATCCTGCATATGGCCTTACCAATTAAGTTCTTCATATCACTGAAACAAATCACAGTATTACATCATAAGAACTAGGCAAAACTACTGCAACAGGTGCAAACAAAACGATTACAAGATACGTAACACAAACAGTAAAACAACAATGACAGCAGTAATGAGTAATGGTGTGTTGAAGTGAAGAAGATTGATATGTGACAATTGGCATAAAAAGAATAGCTCCAACCAAGTTTAACTACAACAAGAAGTTCTAGAAGTTCACTATATCTTCTACTGACACATAAATCTTGGAAACACAACACCATTTAAAGCTCTCCATCGTTATCACCCAACTGAGCCAGGAAACAGAGATCTTCTTTCTCAGGACAAATATTTTCAGCCTATCAATTCTCATTGTAACCTCATTGACCCTCCTTATCCAGATGTTAAGTTTCTAATTTCAGAAATCCTACACTCAAGTTTTTAGGTTAAACTACATACAGGATGGGGTGAGGTACTTTCAATAAATTCCATCTGAATGGTATAGTTACCCTCCATTTGTTTTTACCTGTAAAATTAACATATCTAGTCTACGATTAAGGGATGCAAGATGGCAGCAAAGAGCTTTAGCGTCGAGTAATACAAATATAAGGCTTCAAAATGGATAGTGACCAGACATATAGCATCAAAGCAACATGTCTAAGATTAAAAATTGATGAAGGAGCACTCACATGCGACATTCTACACTGCTTCCATGATTGCAAAAAGGACAACTGAAGACACTGTCAAGTTTGTCCATTCTCTTCTTTGGTGCTGGCTTTGCTCTTGACTTCCTCTTGCCCATTTTTCAACCAAATATCACCCGACAATAGTGTATATATTTAATGATCCTAGATCAGAAGATACCAAAGTTGACTTCAAGATATGGCAGACCGTGAAATACAAACAGATGAAAAAGTAAATTCAAAATTTTAATGACAACAGGATACAACATTGACAAGGCACATAGCACCAATAAAATTGGGACTTTCACCACTAAGTGCAATTAACAGTAAACAGAAACAATTGGGACTTTCACCACTAAGGCACTAAGTGCAATTAACAGTAAACAGAAACAATTATGCGAGAAGACATAATTGAAAAAGTTATAGTTAAGTGAAATATGTGAAGTAAAAGGTTGTCAATCTGATGAATTCAAAATTGTCTAAATTTCTAATTCAATTGTGAAAATGCAGTTCAAGTTACTAATTCATATCTAGTGGCTATTTTCTTATAATAACTTCCAATTTTTTAATCCTAATTACTAGCATATTCTTCTATATATTACATCCTTCTTCTTCTTACCTCCTCCTCAATAAGCTGATAATTTTCATAGGTATTACTTCGCTCATAATCCTTAACGTCTACTATATGTATAAGTTTCATCAAAATTTATTTCGTTAACTCATCTTCTTCTACATAAATATGTTGATTTTGAGAGGTTTAAACTCAAATTTTTATAGTTCAATTGCTTGCTTGATATTCTTCTCTATCTCTACTTCCTTGTTTGTTTCCAAAGATATCAAAAATGCCATATTTCTGGATATATTTATTGTAATTAGGAAAAATAAAAAAAACTAACTTAAATCGAAACCGTATGAATGCTAAATTGGGAATATTGCAGAACATAACTGAGTTTTCCTCCTCAATATATATAACTTTGCCGACTCTAAAAAACCATATATCAAACAAGGCAGAAATTGAATGAGGACAGATACAGGTAATTGAACTGATAGAAGAATTCATAAAAACCTAAAAACCAAAAAAAAAAAAAAAACAGTTTATCGTAGCGCTATAGAACAACTAAAAGACCCTAGAAACGATCAAATAAGAAAATATATATTCATGAAAAATTACACTACAAAAACCAAAACCTAGAGCAATCAAATACCCTAGATAAAGAAGAATCGAAAAAGAGAGAGAACAGAACGATAAAGGTGTGAACAATACCTGCAAAATCGTAATGCGCTTCCTTCACAGAGTTTTTCCAGAGAAAAAGAGTGGGAAATTTTTGTGGTGAAGGGTATTTATAGGCAGCGGAAAGAAGAAGATTCTAGTAATTACGCCAATTTTTCAGAAAGCCCATTATATGAACTTGGGCTAAGCTTGTAGTCTGATATCCATATAGAAGTTAAAGCCCAAATATGAAATTTCTATTTTTAGCCACTCCCATAAATAATAGCAGATAAAATATACTATAATTTTTGTATGTATATTATATACATATAATATAAATATTTTACATATTTTTTGGCTAGTGAATGCAATTAGTTTTGACCGACCCACCGATTTTGTATTTTTCCCTATATATTTTGACATGGCCATTTAGTAGTATCTGCCCAATTAGTTTTTTAAATTAATACCAGAGGGATTTGATTAATTTATATATTTAAATTCAAGGATAATTGTATCTAAATAATATACAAGGAATTAGTTTTATTTTAAAGAGCCAATTTTTTTTGACAAGTCATTAAGGTCAATTAAAATAAACATATCAACATGACTTATAAAAGTGTAATAATCCTTCACCAAAATTTAGTTTAACAGATTATGATAAATTGTTTAAGGTATCTTAACATGCAAAAAAAAAAATGGTAATTTAATCATAAATATTTAGCGAATGAACCATTTTTAGCCATGATACCTTATAAGTGTTAATTTTGATCATAAAGCTAGATATGCTCTAGTAAATTGCAGTATTTATTGTTTATATACATATGCCCTTAGCGAAATATCGTTTATCTTTTTTACCTTTTTAAAATAGAGTTCACATTGGACAAAATAGTCATTTGATAATTTCTCCTATATTTAGAAATAATCATTTAATCATTTTCCTAATATTTAAGTTTTGACTGTTTAATTCCTTACTATTCTAAAATTCCTACACTTTTCAATTCACATTATGTTTCGACCACTTTATAGTCCTTTAGGTTTAGGAGGGTTTTTTAATTAATGAAGTTTTACATATTAATTTTTTATAAAAATATATTAGGATAATGAATTTCAGATTAGGTGAACGGGCACTTCAACTCCTTTTCAATTTGGGAGTCTCCATTTTTAATATTTTTTTTTTGTATCTAAACTATATATACACACAAGATTTTACTTACATAAATTTGTTCCTTATTTATATTAAATAATCTTAATTATAATTCCTTCTATATTGTTTTACTAAATAATATAAAAAGACTGGTTGATCTGGCACTTTGCCTGACGAGTTATGAATTGTTCCTTAGTAGGTGGATTCATTAAGCTTTTCTTTGTCGTTCTTGTTATACCCCATTTTAACACGGGTCAAACTAGAGTACAACATATTGGCAAATCTGATGTTCAATTAATTTTAAGAGAGTCGCCACCTAATTATTTTAAGGTGAATTAGGACACCAATTTTTTCTAAATAACGCCAAAATTAACTCTATTTATATAGTCTATTTAACCTTAAGATTATGGGTAAGGGTTCTAATTAATCCTATAGGAAAGGTTATTAAAGCACCCTATATGATCCGTTAACTACGGTTAACCGGTCAAACTTGGGTTGATTCACTAGTTAGGATAATAAATATTAAAGCCTATTAGTTGAACGTTTGAGGAAAAAAATGATTTTGATAAGTCAAAGTATTTAACTATGTTGAAGACCGCATTTCAAGTTGTGAAATCAAAACGAGATTAACTTTGTTTAAAATTTTCAAACGTGAGAAAGAACAGTTAAGTTAATGTAGTAAACTCTTATAAACCAATTCGTACTTATAGAAAGACCATTTGAGACTAAAGAACGATTTCGGAAACTTTTTAGGGTAATCTGCTTTAGGGCCAAATGTTCTCAATGATGTTTGAAACAAAGATGATTTCACACTAAATTGTAGTTAATACCTTTAAAGAAAATACATTAAGTAATTAAAAAATATTTACTTGTCAGGCTAGGTGTTAATATAGGAACCAGTTTTGATTTACTAGTTTTAGATCTTTAGTTGAGATAAAAAGTTATGTTTAACTAAACATAATTTTGAACATGCAATTCCAAAATGGGTACTAACTCAACTAAATGAGCAAATTGACATGCAAAAATCAGATGACATGAGGGACAAAGATAATAAATAACAAAATGAATAAGGGTGCCATAGGCATCCCCCAAGTGTCTCGCTTGTTTTCTTCTTGTCCATTAGCCTAAGATACGGTGACAATCACACCATGCTCGGGGTTGAGTCTTGCATTAAGACTCGTGTTACTCCAAGTGGATATGCAAATAAAGTAAAAGAAAAGACAAGAATTAGAAATAAAGATATTGGCAATAAACTGAGATACTAAAAAAAAATGGTAAACTTTGAATTGGATTCTAAACATACAACAGAATTATTAACTCACATAAAACAAATATTTTAAAAAGAAAAACTTGAGTAATCTTATACTAACAGATTCATTAGTCTCTAAGTTTAGGCATATCCTCTAATCTAAATATTAAGTTAGCACATAACTTTCCTTGTTCATTTGAAATCTAAAGATGAAACAGATCGATCTAGCCAACATCACTATTAAAACTTAGAACAACATGGTTTCTACTTCCATCTTAAGTCTTAAAATTAGATATTAAAATCCTAGTTGCGTGCTTTCTAGTAAAATGACGAAATGGCAGTAGACTTTTAGGATCCTTAATACGCATTAATACACAAACACATGCATTCCTAATTTGTCTTGAAGTCTTAAAACTAGATATTAAAATATTCTAATGGCATACTATCTATTAATAGTGAAAAGTTTCCAATATAATATGGTAGTACTATTTTTTGAACTAATAGTAAACTAACACTTAACTGCACATGATACTACAAGAAGCAAATTTTTCAAAGCATCCAAGAACTTACTTAGATAAGTTTCCAATATCATATGTTAGCTAGGTCTCCCCAACTTCTTTCCATTTTTTGTTATAAACCCGATTAGGATCATCACAGTAAGTACTTCTACAGAACTGTTGTTTGGAGTGTGAACTAAAAACTACTGCATTTCATAAACTAAAAGTTTTCAGTCTTTGCAAATACATATAGTAACAATATACCAATGTCAAAAAGTATTATTTCTATTGAGCCACTATCATGTACTTAGTCTATTTTACTAGAATGCTAATGGATATCTCTGAAAGAAACTCCGAACTACATATTCTTTGCCACGATCCAAATTCCATTATAGGTTGTGATGGCATCCAACACCGTTGTTAGGCAAGCCAACTCTAATCAACTAGTGAGTTCTCTTTTGTTTTACCAACCAATCCCATCATTTACTAAATCTTAAATTTTAAACAGTCGATATTTAACAAGTTCATAATGATAGAAAACACAACCCAAAATAATAGTCTACAAAGTGTGTGGCAGGAACTAGTGTCACAAGTACTAGGGCAACTAATAGAATGTACAAAAATGCCACTATTCTGCTGCCTGAAACAAAATAGACAGTACATAACCACAACAAAAGAAGAGAAACTCCAGTATGCTGCTGAACGGCTCAGAAGGGGCAGCTCACCGTGAGATCTCGATCAGGTATCAGGAACACATGCCGGACGGATAACTAGATGCACCTGCCTCAGATCCTGTACAGTTAAGTACAGAAGCGTAGTATGAGTACATAAATAACATGTGCCCAGTAAGTATCTAGTCTAACCTCGAAGAAGTAGTGACGAGGGTCGACTTGACAACTACTAAGGTCAATAATAATAATATTTAAATACTATGCTAAGCATGGATAGCATGAATCTAATGACAGTCCAAGAACAAGGAGAAATAAGATATTACTTCTTAACAATATATCAATTTCAGTCATGTCATGTAATAAGTTACATTTCAAAGCATTTGAGCAGTGTAAAGCACGGAAAATTCCACATAAATAACATGCACACATTGTGCCGAGGTCGTACGGCCCGGTCCGAATATAATAATAAATTGTGCACTGCCAGAGGGTCGAATGGCGCGAACCATAGATGCATCTATTTTCTACCGAGGCGATCGGCCCGATCCACAAATAACAATTTATTATCAAGTAAGCACACATTGCTCAATTATAATCAAATAATTCATACAAGTTCTCAAGGAAGTGAGTATAACCGTATATATTTATTTCCAAGTTTCCAGCATGTCCTAAATGATCTTAGCAGCAAGCAAGGACGCAAATATTGTAAGTATAGCATGATACGGGTAATAAACTACCCGGACAATTAGCATAATAGTAGCTACGTACGAATTCTCGTCACCACGTACGTACGTAGCCCCCACAGATAGTCACATACATTTATTTAATTCACCTATAGGGTTAATTCCCTCTTACGAGGTTAGAAAGAAGACTCACCTTGCTCCAAAGCTTACTCCCAAATTCAAGAATTATCACGACCCAAAAATCCCTCCGAAGGAGTCGTGATGGCACCTAGTCTCTAAACTAGGTAAGCCTAACATTAACTGAAATGACATTGATATTTACTAACTTTAAATTAAATTACTCTGAACAAATTACAATTCCCAAAACTCGGTGGTACAAGTCATAAGCCTTTCTAAGAGTAGTTATACAAAATAAGTACATCATTGTTCCGAAACAAAAGGAACATATGGAAATAAGTACAATTGAAGGTGACTCTGAGACCTGCGAACGCTATAGCAGGTTTACCTTGAGTCTCCACCGCAACGACCCGCACAGCTATAATCGATCGAATACTTGGATCTATACACAAAAATGTACAGAAGTGTAGTATGAGCACACCACAGCGGTGCCCAGTAAGTATCAAGACTAACCTCAGTGGAGTAGTGACGAGGAACAGTCCAGAGACCTACTGGTCAAATAAATTGAACAGGATATGATAATAAACTATCAACATAAAGATAACAAAGTAATATCAACAACAGGGAGAGAACAAACTACAATCAGTAGAAACAATAAAGGAAAACACGGATGGAAACGAAAGATAACCAAGTAAATTAGCACCAACCTAGCCGGAACACACACAAGTAAAAATGTACTCAAATAAGGAAGGGGATGTCTGCTCAATAAA